TTGGCTCCCCAGGAGGCTCGGAGGAGGAGCTGATGGAAACTCATGCCACCCAGCTAATGCTGGGGGCGGGGGCCGCGCAGCGGGTAGGGAGCCGAGCGCCTGGACCAGCGACGGTGGAGCTGGGACATCGCCAATGCGGGGCCTGGCACGGTGGTGTGGTGCCAGGCCAGCTGTGCCGCAGGCGGATCCACCTCCATGGGCTCATCTGCAGGTGGATCCACCTCCATGGGCTCATCCGGAGGTGGATCCACCTCCATGGGCTCCACGGAGGTGGTCACCGCGCTGGCCCAGGCGCGATGGAAACGCACTCTCTGCCCCCTCCTCCGCTTGATCTTAAAGGCGGCCCCCCTCCTCCTCTTCGCCTCTGGGAAGCCAAGCTCCCTCTTCCCATTTAAAATAGGGCAAGCATCGCCCCTCGCTCTCTTCGCTCCAGCCATGGCTGTCGGAGCTCTCAGAGCGAGTGCGTTGGCCGGGGCAGCGGTGACCAAGGTGACGGCTGTGATGCGGCGAAGGTTCTAAAATGGCAGCCGCACTGCTGGCAATGGCGTTCCACATAGCATGAGGAGGGGGCCGGAGGACAGGGCACCGGACGGCAGCTAGAAGGCACTCCCTGTGCCCAGCGGGCAGCCCTTCTCTCCGGAAAGCAAGGGGCCACAGAGGAGCCGGCCCCGAGAAAAGGGCCCTCGGCCTCCTTCATCCTCTCCCTGCTTCCACACGGCAATCTGTTGCGGCTGGGACACGCAGCACACAGCGCCATGTTCAGGGGCCTCCCGAGCCCAGCGCCAACAGCAGCAGGCTCCAAAGCGCACCTGACTACGCCTGCCTCCTGGCACACACGAGCTCCGCTTTCCACCTTAGCATCTAGCGCCTCTTCTTGCGCCTCACGGCTCGGGATTCAACCATTCCCTACAATCAATACCGCCAGCTGCATTTTCACTACCATCACTCTGACTCCATTCCACAGCCGCGCACAATGCTGGCACACACACACGGGGCCACCCCGGCTCACCGATGCTTCGCGGGGACCCACACAACAGCATGAGCAAAGCAGGCAGAAACGGGCCGTGCTCCTGACTGATGGCACTCTTGAAATCTCCCTCTCCCTCCCCCCCACTCTACTAAGGCAGCAGTTCTCCCAAGCAACAAACACAATCACGCACAACTGCAGCCCTGGCTCGTCCGGACGAAGCACATCTTCACAAACCTTCTTCCAGCTCCGCACCCTCCGGCCAACACAGCGCCCACGCGCCTTGCTCCACTGCCCGCCCGGGCTTTGCTGGCGACAACTCGGCCCTACGGGGCCTCCTCCTTCACGCACCCCAAACACCAACACAGCTCCGCACTCGCACGGCCTTCCCTGAGAGGAAGCCGCCCCCCGACCCCGCAGCACTCGGCGGCGCCGCACGCATCGCCTCTGCGTGCCGGCAGCACCGCCAGCTCCTCCCCCGAGCGCCCCTCCATGCCCCCGCACCGAGGCCCGACCCCGCTCCCAGCACACAGCCCGCTCCTCCCGGCCCCGCTCACCGGCCCGGCGCCGCCATGCCGCGCTGCCCCGGAAGTGCTCTCCGCCGCCAGGAAGCACTTCCTGCCCCGGCCCTACCAACCGCCTGCGGCGTCGCGTTGCTGAGGGCGGCCTGGGGCCTGGAGGAGGTGGAGGGGCAGCTGGGGGGGTCCGCTGCCGGATTCCCCTCGGGTGGCGCCGGCGGCACGCAACTTGGTTTCTTCTTCTTTTCTGCCTTTTCCCCCTTTTTGCTTTCCTTTGCCTTTCTTTTCCTTGCTTCTCTTTCTCTCTTCCCCTTCACATTTCCCTTTTTCTTTCCTTTCATTTCTTACTTTCTTCCCCTCTCCTCCCTTCCCCTCCCCTCCCCTCGTCTCCGTTTGCTTTCTGTCCACACTCAGTCTGCACATCTCCAATGGACATGCCTGCAGAAGATCACTTACGCAGGCAATAAATGGCTTGTGCTGTGCTTCACTGCTTTGTGCTCTTGAAAGACACTGATTTGTTTTGCCCTTTCCTGAGCCCCAAGTATCAGGAGGGCCCGGCTGCCTTTGCTGCGGAGCCTTATCACCCCACAGTCTGAAGACTTGGGGGAAAAGCTCAGCAGCTCCGTAGCTGCCAAGGGAAGATTTCATGCCCTGGCCTTCATACAGCCCGGCTCTCCCCGCTCTGCTCTGCGCTCCTGCCATCCCCTGCAGCCCCTGTGCTGCAACAAACACGAGCGCGGCTCGGGCCCAACGCCCTCCCTGCTGCACGCCCTCTCACAGCCCCATGTGCTGCAGCCACACCACTGCCCTCCTCTCCTCTCCTCTCCTCTCCTCTCCTCTCCTCTCCTCTCCTCTCCTCTCCTCTTTTCTTCTCGTGTTACTTTGCTTTGCTTTTTTCTTTCCTTTCCTTTTCTCTCTCTCTCTCTTTTTTTTTTTTTTTGTTCAGCAATGAAGCTCTTAAGGCTCATATTGAATTTTTTACCCTTCAGAACACAGCACATTAAATTATATGTTGCCTGGTTATTAAGATAGTTAGTGAGATATGCTGTCGAGAGGATTTGAAAGCTAGTAATATAGCAAAGCTGCAGTGGATCTGAGAGTAGCAACTAAAGCATGCAGCTGAGTCATGAGATGCATAGCAAGCCACCTTCCTAATTTCTAATTCCTTCCCACAGCCAAACTCAGTCAGCATTTACCTGAAAAGCATATTTCTCAGACTTTGTCTTTTGGGAGCGAGGTTTGAAATCTGCAGTTAGGCCCCATAATTCTGTCTGTATTTTATTCTTTAATGCAGATGAATTTATCTACCTGGCATGCAACCTGTAGTCACTTGACACCAAAGTGATATACTTGGAAATGGCACACTTAAGGGATCACAGACATACAAGGATGTACGAATGGGGTTTAAAACTTGGAGACACTCACAAACCTAGAGGATATTTTGCAACATCTCGTGAAATTGGATAACTGAAAAAAATTGGACCATACTTTGAATAATAAATAGCCAGTGCAAACAATGTTTACACAATTTATTCAATTTAAAAATAATATCATGGTGAATCCTGCTAGGAAAACATCAGGAAAAAATAGAGGAAATCTCCCAACTGGCATTAGCTGCATTTTTCTTAGACAATTAATGGAGTTAGTTCTACTAAAGAATCTCAAGGTAAGTAGTTTCTCTATGTTGTACAGCAAAATTAATACACAAAGTATCTGCAAGAAGCATCAGGATGAAAGAGTTGCTGTAAAATCAGTGATGTTACTGAGGCTATAAGAAAAGTGAAGTCAGCACACCCATATGGTAACAGGAATCAACATATTTTGTGTAAGAGACCAAGAATGCTAACAAAATATGAGGGCAATGAGACCTTCAGTAGAAAACAAAATCCAAACCGTAGCCATAATTTGGAAATAACTTCATTTAAAAAAATAATTTGAATATTTGATTTCTGTGTTATTGGTCTCAGTTCTTCTGATATTTCATGACCACGGTATAGAGGCTTTCCATTTTCTGATGGATAGCAGTTAACATTCAGATCAGATATTAGAAGGACTTTCCCAATTGGGTGGTCAGTGACATGCTGAAGACAACAAAGTGAAATGCTCTTAAATCTCTTTGATTAGAGCATTTCAAGAAGACATTGTGTTCTGTCTTGGTGCTTGGAGATGTACTAAATGACCTCTGAAGTCCTTCCCAGCCCTGCATTTCAGTGATTCTGACTCAGAATAGTGATCCATTCTAAATTTATTTTAATCAATGTAGAGAAAAGTTCAAGTCAGTTGCCTAATGACAGCTTCAGCTCACACAAGGACTTTAACCTTCCAACACTGTGCCTCATTTATTACATGGTACATTCACTGATACTAGAGGAGGCTGAACATACTATTACTGGCAAGAGAATTGATATAACCAGCAGGACTCTGAGGCAGTTCCACCCTCGCTATTTGTGATTCAGTGATGAGCCATGAATTTGCATTCATATCACAGCCATGCCAGAACTGCTAATTTCCTAGGAAAACACATATCACAGAATTGTAGGGGTTGGAAGGGACCTCCAGAGATCATCGTGTCCAACCCCCAAATATATCTTAATATATCTTTAGATAGTTACCTTAAAAACTGTTTCCAGGTGGGGACACTTCCCCCACTTCTAGTGTGCTGTCATTCTAATGTCTGATTTCCCATGCTCTCACTCACACCACTCATCCACTCATCCAACTGAAGTCCTCAGCTCCATGCAAGTCCATGTAAACTGCTGGCAGCACAGGTGATCTCACAGCACATGCCTGACATCCATGTGAAACAGAACCAAAGAATCATAGAATTATACAATGGCTTGGGTTGGAAGGGACCTCAAGGATGCTCAAACTCCAACCCGCTGCTGCAGGCAGGGCCACCAACCACCATATTTAACCTCAGACCAGGCTGCCCAGGGCTCCGTCCAACCTGGCCTTGAACAGCTCCAGGCACAGCGGGGGAAATAATACTGATGTTTTGAGCAGGTGCTTGTGTTTGGACTCTTTGTTAGTGTTTTTTAGGTTAAAAATCGTACCTTGACAACTTGGCACCAAGGGTCTATTAATCACTTTCAAAGAGTACGAATCCCAGCGTTCAGGGAATAAGGAAATACAGCTACAGTCCAGACAACCTAATATGTCCGTTTTCTTAGATACTGCTGCCTTAATTTGTTAAGCCCTTTGAGGAATGACGTATCAGCCTGCGATGGCTGCAAGTTTCTGAACGAAGGCATCGAGTGAGAGAATTTTCGGATTATTTCCATGGTAACACTGAGCCTTTTGGGTGTAGAGCATCTGACCACGGGTCAGTGGGCAAGGGCAAGAGACAGCTGGACATAAGAATAAACAATTGGCCATGAAGACTGAATTTCTAGAACTTGAAATTTCTAGCGATTCTTCGAACCAACGATGACCGCACCGCCGCCACGAACCGCCCCGCCCGTTGCTGCCGGCGCCGCGCAGGGGTCGGAGGCCGCGGCGGGAAGGCGGGGAGCCGACCCGAATCACGTGACGGTGCCAACATGGCGGCGCCGTGGTGGCCGCGCTGTGGCGGCCGCTGAAGGAGGCGCGGTTCTTCCGGGTGATGGGCTTCGAGCGCTCCCGGCCCCGCCATGCAGCCCCCGGCCCGCGAGCAGGACGCCCGCACCAAGAGCATGTTCGTGTCGCGGGCCCTGGAGAAGATCTTGGCCGAGAAGGAGGCGAAGCGGCCCCCGCACGGGCAGCTGCGGAGAGCCTGCCAGGTGGCGCTGGGTGAGTCCGGCCGGGCCGACCCGCCGGGCTGGGAGCCGCCGGCCTGCGCGGCGCTGCGTGCCGGACCCGGAGCGGGGCAGCGTCACAGCGGGGTGCTGCGGCAGGGAGTTCGTGGGCCGAGAGCCGGGAGGCCCGGGAAGGGAGGGAAAATGGGAGAAGCGCTCCTTTGGTGCGGAGGGACAGCCCGGGCCGCTGTCTGCTCTGTTCGCTTTTGGCCTCGGTACGAACAGAAGGGCTTGGGTGTGCCGCTCTCGGATTGCTTTCGAGAAAATTAATGACAAGCTTTTCAAATAGGAAACGAGCTGTGTGGGGACCCTCGCGTCCAGACCCCCCTGATCTCATGGGCTCTGATACTTTTCCTCCAGCTCGTGGCTGGGCTGGCAGAAACTGTGATGCAGCCCCGGGCAGGCTGTGGCGTCCTGCAGAACTGAAACACGTCTTCTGAACTTGGCAGCCTGGTTCTAAAATCTGCGGCTACAAATCCATCCTTTTGTAATGTAGGTGTGACTGCTAAAGTTCTGCACAAGCATATGATATGTTACGGAGGGAAGACAGTAGGTGAAGCAGCACGGCTGTCACAGGTGCAGTTCTTGGTGGCCTTTCTTATTTTACAGAGGTGACATCTCTTATGGTATGGATTGCTTGTTCCTTTAATTTGAGTGTGTTTTGGAGAAAAGTGAGAGATAGCTGAGCATGTGAGTAAGCAGATGCAAGCCTTTCAAATGTACTATAGAAGCAAACTTGAAAAATTGACATTCTAAGTTTCTTACTTGCAACTCTTACTTTGAAGGAATCTGTAGCTGCTGACTGCAATGATGGTATATCCAGAGAAAGGTAGAAATGTGAGGCTGCTTATTATTATTTGAAACAAACACTGTGAGCAATTGAAATGACTTTCCCTACTTACTTTCCCTTTCTGACTTCTTCAGTATCCCTCCAAACCTTTTACTTGTCTGGGAGCCTGTTTTTCTGCAGTGTTAATCCACTTAGAGAGTAAGAAAGAGAACTTTCCTTAAAGATTGCTAATGAAAGTCTTAGTTTACTGGCACATGATTGTGCTTTTGGGAGGATGTAGTAGTCACCTATTAGCATTGGCCTTTTGGATTATAACTGTTTGACCTTTGTGTCTTAAGTGCAGTACGTTTGAGGTCTGTTAATTTTGTGAAGGTAGATGTACATTTTTCTATCCTGCTGGAGGGAAAAAGAAGTCCGTGTACTTCATTGGACTAACACAGGAGTAGACAAGAGTAGATAACCTCCTGTTAGCCAACTCACCTGCCCTAACAATGCTTTGATTACTGTGCTAAAGGATTTCTATAATGTTTGGTAAATGCTGCCTCATCTTAAGTTGACAACATGGATATAGTTCTTTTTATTTGTGTTAAGTTCTTCAAACTTGATTTTATATGGAGTAAGCTCCTTTTTACTCAAATCAGATTTACTTAAGCTTACATAAGTTTAATTAAGCTTATGAAATAAAACTGTGAGCTTAATTTTAGAAGTGTTAGCTTAGTTATCAAGCCCTTTGCTGTAGTAAACGTGGTCGGGAGCGTAGGTAGAATGTTACAGAAATCAGACCAGACTTCTTAATTTACACAGATTGTTATTCAAGAAAGAAGCTTCAATACTTCCTGTAATAATAAAATCCAGTTAGTCTCTGGTAATTAAATCAGAGTACAGATAACTTTGTTTCTCTCAGATTGGATTCACTTTAGGAACCTGGTCACTGTGTCAGCTGTTATTCTTGCCCTCCTGCCCCATGTCATATTTGAAGTAATCCCTTTTCAGCTCTCAATAAATTTACTGTGCCATCTTATGTGTACAATATTTTCTTTAATGGAGCATTGTTGTATTATACCTTTTATAAACTGTAAAGCATGGACATGATTCATTAGTAAATTCTTATTCCAAATAGGGAGGAACTAGTGCATTCTGGAGCTACCTAATTAAATTAACCTGCAACTATTTCTACAGTTTCTGCTGTAATATTACTGGAGTAGTGTTTATGTTAATTACACATGCCTTAAATTTCTGTTTGGTGAGACAGAGGAATGCCTTTCCAGCTGTGGGAATGATGTTCCTATGTTATAAATGTGCTTCACTGCTGAGAAATTGCTGCTGACAGTTGCTGTTGTTCTTACATAAGGAAATCTATGTGGTAGTTAACTTTAAACTATTTTGCACTTTTCTTCTGTTTCCGATAATTCTTTTTTTTCTTTCTGAACCAGTAGTTTACAGTTTTGGACTGCAAAATACCTTTGTGACTGGAAATGAGGAGCACTATGGGCTCAAATAGGCGATGAATATGAGCAGGGTGAAAGCAGTGCTTATTTACTCCTAAACTGTACAGAGCTTGTTAGCTTGCACTGTTGGCCCAAAGCAGTGATAGATGTGTCCTTGAAAATGGGATCGGTAACAAAACCAGTTCTCAGTTGTTTTTTTCTCAATGTTTTTTTTCCTCTCTCCACCCCTCTTGTGAAGCATACAGAGTAAATGTTGAGTAAGCAGAGTTTGAATGGATTCCTTCATGCAGTCTCTTGCCTCGTCAGTAGGTGTAATAGTTGTATCCTGTATCCTTAGTGCCAGTAAATCCCAGGAGAGGTGGAGAGAAATGAACTAAACAGAGGAACTGTTCTGCTCTGCTCTAGAATGTGGTAATTTTTTTTTTCCAACTGGTTTTCAACAGCCAGCATATAAATAGTTGCCTAATAAGCACTTCTGTGGAGCTCTGGGTGTACGTGATTCTTGGTAAGCATAGTGAAACACTCAGTATCCTGACAGGCTTACAGTGGAACGCGGTGCATATCGTATATCGCAGCAGTTCGTGTGGGTGAAATGCTCATTGTGTCCCTGGGTGTCTCAAACTATTTGTATTACCCCATCAGGACTGTTTTTAACGACACGCTATGCAGCCAGCCTGGTTCTGTGACCTTTGATTGCCTAGGCACTCTGTGTGTGCGTCTTAGAGCTCTGTACGCAACAGGATGTATTTAGTTAGTTTGTTAATAAGCTTTAAAAAAAAATCTCTTAATCCATGCCTTCACTTAGGAATCTGTGTGTATTTAAGTCATCTCTTGTATAAATGATGGATGTCTAGAGAAAGTTTGTTGGTTTAGTAAAACTTCGTGGCTATCTCTGAACCTCTGACTCAGTGCTGGGCTGAAGCAAGGAGATCCTGTTTCATTGTGCAGCTCCTCTCAAGGATTTTCTGTAGTTTTTTGAGTTGAGTTGTTGCTGTAGCTGTTTTAAATCTAAGGCAACCTGGAATTAGGCAATGAAATGGACTTCACACAAAATGGAATGGAACAAAAAGCAGTTTGGACTGTTCCATGTTTGTGTTGGCATTGCTCTCTGGTGTTCTGAGCCGCCATGGAAGGACATTGCTCTTGTCCTCGTGGGGAGACAAGTGACACCATTTGTTGTGCAGGACCTGGTTTGCTTCCACTGTGATGAACATGGCTGTTAAGGTAGGATACAAATAAGTGCAGGCAGGAAGCTATGTCCTTTGTTTTAATACATACTGTTCAATATGAGCAAACTTAAACTGTCCATCTGTTACTGGAGTTCCTTTCTGCCTGTGCCTGGTGCTGCTTTCATTGTGGCAAGAAGCTCTGCAAGAGAAGGCTGCAGGGCCTTGCTTGTTACTCCTGTTGTGCTGGCTGTAGGAATGTTGGAAGGCTGTGCTGAGTGGGCAGCACCTATAGGGTGTGGAGTCAGAGGTGTTTCTGATTGAGTGGATGGATGCATGCTGGTGCCTTTTGAATTGAAAGCAGCAGGAAGCTCTGAGAGCAGAACCACCAGGTGAGGGGCAGCCTTGTCCTGTGGTGGCCACAAGCTGACCTGTGCTGGAGCTGTGGAAGTGACTTGGCTGTGCCCTTACTTCTGCGTGGGACAGAAGTGTGCAGCACTTGCTGTGAGCTGGCTGTGCCTGGTCTGCCTTGGTGGCTCTCAGTGTAACAGAATTCAGTTAGGCTACAGTTGGTGTTTCATTCACTTTTGGTGGTCAGACCACCAAATGAGCACTGGAAACGTAGATGTTTCCAAACGATCTTGATGCAATCAGCAGCAGGAGCATGCCTGTAACTTGTTTTCCTTGTCTGACTTATTCTTTTTTGCCAACATTTTAAATTGAAATATTGTTGTGATGCAGACATTTTTATGGTGCTTTGGAAAATCCTTTATATTAAAAAAAAATTGTGGGGGATTTTTTTTTTTTTTCATTTGCTAAATTTGTTTCTTTAATATATGGAGGATTTTGGAGAATAAAATGATCACTTATTTAATATGGAACACAACTCTTATTTTTTCTTATGGAAAGATTTAATATAAATGTCGGTGAAGGTATTACAATATAAAAAATATGAGGAAGGGTCTAGATCACGTTTTCTTATGGCTAAAATCTTCATGAAATTTACATTTAAAACCTGTTAGCTACTTTGCTTTGCTGGTGATCAGTATATGGGGAAAGTGACTTATTGGAAAGGAAGAAAAATCCTGTTGTTTCTTCTTCCCCGCCAAACAATCTGGACACACATAGCTTGGTTACTCCCTGAATGTGGAATTGAGCACTTACGTTATCCTTAGCTGCAGATCCTAACAGGGAAGCCTGTTTTCTCATGGAGTATTAAATTTTATGAAATGATGTTTTCTTAGGTGGGACTCATTGCTTACTGTTTCTACTTGTTTTTTTATTATTATTTTATTGTTATTATTTTTACAAATAAGGTGAAGTTGAGAAATTTTTACTTTGGAGAAAAACAAAATCATCTCAACCCCACCCCAAACATTTCTCCCAGCAAGCCTTCCTTGCTGGCCTCCCACCGGACTGCATGACAGTGAAGACAGAGCCTGTGACCTTCAGCTTTGTTTCTGCCAGCAGCTGAGCGCCTGCAGGAAGGAGGATGCCAAAGCTGATCTGAGTGAGCTGACCTAAATTTTGGGTGATAGGCTGAGCAGACTAGTTGATGCTGAACAGGTTTTGGTTTTGGCTGAAAGATCACTAGTCTGCATTCTAACTGCAATTAAGATGTGCTTTTCTTAATGAAAATTTGGTAAGAAAACCAAACGTCCCTGGAGAGTCCTACCAAGAGACAGATGTGCAAGTAGTGTTTACATTTAAAAAAGAAAAGAAAAAAAAAAAAAAATATGAGACTAGTGAAATATTTGAGTAAATGGTCTAAGATTTATCTTACATTCGGTAAAATTCCAGGTTTTGGCTAAATAATACTTGATTTGTTTATGAAAAATATGCTATTTTTGTCTTTCCTGACCGCCTTAAAACTTTAATTGCAGGAAGTTCCATTCACTTGCATGAAACATGATATTAGGGAAACTATTGTTATCACTTTAGAACCAGGTACAATCAAAGACTCTGTGATTAAACCTTATCTGCTTAGCCCTTGGGAATTACAGACTTGTACCTGGTAACCACAGGCATGCAGTGATCAGAGCCTGCAGTGTTTGGTATGAGCTTCACTGCTGAGCTGGTGCTCTGGCAGTTCCTATGTGGCTCCTGTTCTGAGTTGTGAGCTTTGAGTTTTCCCAGCACAAGATAGCTACTGCTGCTGATCTTATGGCTGCACACTGCAGTGATGCACAGTTCTTACTTTGTCAGAAGGTGTGTAACTGATCTGATACCTGCTGCAGCAGTGTGGGCAGGAGGGACAAACCAGACATGGGACTTTTAATGAGCAAATATGAACCTAGTTTGGTGGCAGAGGTAAGAGTGAACAAACCTGGCTTAAGTGCTTGCAGCTCATGAGCCAAGAAGTGGTGAGAGGTAGATAGAAGTGGTAACTGCTGGTTTGTTAGTTTTTCTCCAAAAGCATTAGTGAATAGCTTTTCTTTTTTAGGCAAGCTGTTGGTATGTTATGGTATGTTGACTTGGTTAGAAATTGGTGGGCTTCTGAACAGAGCCATGACCCATTCTGAATGAGTGATTCTTCAGTTTTACTGTTCCATCAAATATGGGGTGGATAATGAATGATCCTTCAGTTCTTGCATCATCTGTAGCTAGTAGATGTCATACAGCTGCCTTCTGTCCATGGTGGCCTTCATTAATGGAGAGAGTATGGCACCAGTAGTAAGTCCCAGTCCCGGATGTGTTGTGTCTCAACTTGGAGTTTCCTTGGCACTTGGCTTCCACTTTCTCTGTAGAACAGGATAGTAATGCTAAAAGATGGGGATACTCTGCAAGGGATGTTCTGTGTGCACAGTCCTTTTTATTCAAACTGATAACATCCATCTGTTGCAGTTCTTAATGTACTGTCTTGAGGAATAATGCTTGTAAGATGAAATAAATGACTGAGGTTCATGGGCAGCACTGAAGTCATTTGAACTCTGCATGTCCAGTCTAAAACAGTGGTGCCTCCAGAGAATGACCCATTTCTGACAACTTTGCAGTTGAAACGATTTATGTGGGTATGGTCACTTGCAGGAGCATGAAGTTGGATGTGCTGGATGCAGGATCCCAGTGGTGTTACAAGTGCCTGTAGCTGTGCACCCTTGCTGTGTGTGCTGCTTGGTCTCTGTGTCAGTGTTCGTGGTTTGTACTTAGGCTGTGTTTGGTGCAGTGCAGTCTGTGTTGTACATCGTGGTGATGCATTAGAAATTCTTAAAGCCATATAAGGTTATGAAGGATTTAGTAGTGTTTGTAATAGAGATGGGGAGCATTTTTTTCCTGTATTTCATCTTCTTCAAAGGTCCCTTAAAGAGTTAAGTTCGTGAAGAAGAAGTAACTGCTGGCAAGATGACAGTATCTGTTTCATGTTTGTTCTCTCAGTGAGACTTTGTTTATTCAGTTGATGTCAGCTACCCAGCATGGGACTTAATGGGAAGGTCTCGTGTTGAACTAATGGATTATGTAGTGGTTTAAAACTTCTCCAAACCTAAGCTCTCTATTTTATTTTCACTGAATAAATATTTTATACATACGTTTTTAAAAGATGCCTTCTTAAGAGTACTTGGGGAAGAATAATTTTTGAATGTAGAAGTTAAGAGCTGTGCCTCCCCATAAGATGTCAGGCTGAGGATGTTACAGAAAAGGAGCAGCTCAGATGTAAGACTCAGGTTTGAAACTGCTTTGTGTTATTATACATTTCATATTTATGTTGTTGTCAATCAATTATGTTGGGTGTTAAAAATTTTGAATTTTTTTTTTATTCCAGATGAAATAAAGACAGAACTGGAAAAACAAAGGTAAATTATTGGTTGCTGTAAGCTGTGCAAGAAAAGAGCAAAGTGAATAATTTGGTAATGGAAATGTGAAAGTGCACCTAAGTCACTGCAGTGAACTTGTGAATGTGTGTGAATACCTTTATGAACATGATGTGGCCCATATCTCCCACTCACACAATGGCTGTGGCTCTGGGTACTCAACCCATAACTGCCTTCTGAATTTCACTATGAAATAATTGCAGAACTTCTAACAGGTGTTAGAATTTCATTTCCTGTTACTGGGCTTAATATAGCCTACTAGGATGCCTGCTGCTGCTTACAATTTTCAATTTGATAGCATATGATCTTAATTACATAGATCAAGAGTACCGATGTAATTTAATTATTAACATAAAGTATTAAAACACTGTTCCAGCACTGTGCTATGATTTTGAAATGAGCTCCCAAAATACGTTTTTGTTTTTGTTTTTTTTTTTCCTCAGTGTACTTCATACTGGCTCTGTTGATGTAATTCAGAATGGCTTAGTTTTATCATTAAGTTGTTCTCTGGTCAGATGCAAAACGAGAACAACCTTGCATTTTTCATGTGTGACTTTAAAGAAAATCAAACTTTGTAAAGCAAGTATGTATAAGAGAATCTTGCATTATGCTTGTATGCTTCTGAGCACCATCTAGCTTTAAATGTGAAAAAGGAGGATGGGTAGTTTGCTGTGATAATGTATTTAGAAAAATAAACAACTCTTCTCCTCTGACCTAGAGAAGGCACTGTTGCTCCACCAAAAGCAAACTTCATTGAAGCTGATAAGTACTTCCTTCCTTTTGAGCTGGCCTGCCAGTCAAAGTCACCACGCATTGTCAGTACTTCACTGGATTGTTTACAAGTAAGTTAAAACTCAGAGAGAGTGGAATGGAATAACATGCACTTAAAAATTTGTATGCTGTTGGCATTCTTAGAGAGAAGTATTATTATTCTGAAAACATACAGCTGTGCTGTGGATGTTTAAATGCATAAACTGCAAAGTATGTTATCATCAGATTTGGCTGAAAGCTCATCTTGCAAAAGCAAGAAATTCATGTGTGTTGTTGTTTTACAGTGGAACAGTCATTCATTGAGGCTCATGGATTCTTACATTGTTTTTAAAGATTTTTAATCTGTGTTGCTTTAAGAATATTTACCATGGTGTCCTTTGTAGTTCTGATGTGCTGGGAGATCAGACTCTAGAATTGTTCTATCTTGTGCCTCTCTCAGTACTTAGAGAAAAAACAAATGTTACTTAGCTTTATCACGCTACTTTGACTGAACATTTCTGTTGTGAGAAGGTTCAAAGGCAAAGGCCAAATAAATTTTGTCTAATAGCAGTAGGAAGAAATGTGGCACAGAAATGTGTATTACCTATCAAATCTTGTCTAAGCCTATGAACTGCACAAGTATTTGCTAACCAGGCTGTTGAAGATGTTCAGTTCCTGTGTTAGAACTGTTACAGCGAGGTAGCCTGCCGAAACCCCCTGTTTATGGCATACTCAACTCTATTTTACTTAAAAGCATATGGTTGTCTGATCACAGAATTATAGAACTAACTTGTGTTCTTTTTACCTAGAAACTTATTGCATATGGACATATCACTGGCAATGCCCCAGACAGTGGAGCTCCTGGGAAACGCCTGATTGATCGGATAGTTGACACAATTTGCAATTGCTTTCAGGGTCCTCAAACAGATGAAGGAGTACAACTGCAGATAATTAAGGTATTTTATTTGATACAGTTTGTGATTGTGTGATTTTAACTAGACAATTTTTCTGTCATTGATTTTGTAACTGAAAAAATAGTGGTGAAACTCCATTTATGATCCAGTTTCTCCATTTCTTGCAGCATTAGATATGTTACTGAACTCAGACCTATTGTTTCTTGGAATTTTTCAGGCTCTCCTCACTGCAGTAACATCTCCATATATAGAAATTCATGAAGGAACAGTTCTCCAGACTGTTAGAACCTGCTACAACATCTATCTGGCCAGTAAAAATCTTATTAATCAGACAACTGCCAAAGCTACCCTGACACAAATGCTAAATGTCATTTTCACACGGATGGAAAATCAATCTGTATGTACCTACTGCTTCTGCTCATCTCAAACATTTAGGCTTGACGAGCTAATAGAATACTTCTGTGTGTGTCTATTGTGTTAAATGTCTGTTGATTTGGAATTTAAAACAGCTGTCATTCTGCAGTGAAGCATAGTGTGGCGTACCAGTTTGATTAAAATAGGAAGCTTGTTGCTGATAACAACTCCTAGTTTTACCACTTCCTGATGAACAGCTTTGTACAAGTGGTGCGATGCTTCTAACACAAGCTTCATACTCCAATGGCTGAGCTAAAGCAGGGCTTTGTCATTGGAGCAGCCAAGCAATGTTTTGTTGTTTCTCATAAATATGTGAATTCTCAAGGGAACATCAGCTATCATAGGTATTTATTTTCCCTTATGTTTTCTTCCTTTACGTAACTTTTTAACAATGTTTTCTCAAGGTACAAGAATCCAGAGAAGTGGGAAAAACAAATCAGCAAAAATCCCAGTCTCCTGCAATTCAAGCAGTGACCAGATCTCCAAAGATGGGTCAGTTAAAGCACCACTATCAGGAAGGCAAATATACTGCTCCTGTAAGTGTGGAATTAACTAATGGGGAGCCTGAGAGGACAGGATACGGAAATGTGAAGTCAGAGCAGGATTTGGTTCCTTCAGCATCAGGTGAACAAGAGTTGCTTTCAGTTGCATTTCTATTGCAAAATGCTTTCTTACACTACTGTTGGGAGAACAGATGGGGCTATTGGCTCAAATAACATTTGTGTCTTCTTGGTAGCTCTTCAGTGTATACAGGCCATTATTAGATATTGCCTGTGATATTATAGCCACTGAAGAAAGGCTTATTTTTGTCCTAGAATTATTCTGAAACTTCATGTGGTTCTAGATTTATACTGGAACTTGACATGGTTGGTTTGACAGAAGGGAAGGAGAGGAGAAAATAATCATGGTGTGCATGAAGTGACAGAGTTACTTTAAGATAATTGAAGTCCTGTGGTAAAAACGTGTATTATGAGAATGTTATCATGTGCTCCTATACTGTATCAGAATAGAAAAGTAAGATATTCCAAAAGGGAAAAAATCATAACATTTGATAAATACAAAGGACAAAGATGCCACATTAAAAATGTAAGTGCTTGGAAATAAATTATGGAAATAACTTTAATGAATATTTTCAAGTGACTTCTTTGAAAAGGCTTTAAATGGGAAATACTTGAGAAAAATTTACTACCTCTAACCTTTCTGCCTCTGTCCCCTTTTTCCTTTGTCTTCTTCCTAAACAAGAGTACAAAATTCAAAATTATCTCTCTGTTTCATCAGAGGAAACAACTGATGGAGGAAAGGAAATGGTTAAAGGCATCTTGGAAGATGTGGTTGAGTCAGCTGTGAAAGGTAGCAGATCTTCAGAAATAAAGTAGATGCATGTTTATTATAAAATTCTTATTCCTGTAATTATAACAACACGGATTCTTTCTTACTGTTGTTACTAAGTACTTGTAAAGAACACAATAAGGAAAGGCCTTTTATTGTCTTACTGGATTCTTCTATTGTTTGTAGCTGAAAAATCTTCTAGCTTACTACTGCTGCTTCTGTGCCAGTCAATTGTAGAGCTTCACGAATGTCATGGATTGAAAAAAGTTTCAGTTGTATTTTTCTTTCTCCCCTTTAGTAGCTGAAGAGAAGCAGGTAACAGAAATGGCTACGGCTCTACCTGCAGTAGAGACTGCAGATACTGTTCTTTCTGGCTCTAGTAGCGAAAATGTACAAACAAATGGAATTCCAGATGATGGACAGTCTGTTTCCTCTACTGATAATCTGGTAAATAACTTCACTGGATGCCTGTGTATGGATAGGAAAGGAGGAAAATTTTCACACCAATTAATACAGTGGGATTTTGAGGAGAGGAGGAGCAGAAGACTTAATGTATGTGTCCTGGTTAGGTTCAGAAAGGAAGCAGCAAATTCAGTTTAAGTAGATATTGAAAATGACTGTTCTAAAATTGATTGTGACTTGTAGCTTAGTATTGGTGGGAGGAGAGAGAGGTGGTCCGGGTCACTTGATTCCAGTTTAGGTTTTGTTTATGTCTTAGCAAATCATTAGCTAATTCTCAGAAGAGCTGTAGAATCTTTCTTAATTGCTTTATTCCTTTGTCTCACTGAGTATCCAATATTTTATTTCTTACTCTTTAGGAAGCAGATATATCTGGCCATCAAGCTGCTGCCAAATTTTCTCATGTTCTGCAAAAGGATGCCTTCCTTGTGTTCAGGTCACTGTGCAAGCTCTCCATGAAACCACTTGGTGATGGACCACCAGATCCTAAGTAATGAAACTGTATTAATTATCCAGTTCTCTCCTGGTAGCTTTTGGAAACAGGGGGTGCAGATAAGTAGTTTCTGTATGCTAAAATGGGTATTCAAAATTTATCACTCAGGCCCTTATTTCAGTTAGCTTGATGAAGCAAATTTCAGTCTTAGATTCAGGTCTTAAAAATGTAGTACTTGAAAGATTTCCACACACAAGTTTGTATTCAGAGATGTAGTAAATCTTCATTTTCTGTGTTGATTTTTTTTCTAGATCCCATGAATTGCGTTCTAAGATAGTGTCTCTCCAGCTTCTTCTCTCAGTGCTACAGAATGCTGGTCCAGTTTTCAGGACGCATGAAATGTTCATCAATGCAATCAAGCAATACCTTTGTGTAGCGTTGTCTAAAAACGGAGTCTCATCTGTTCCTGATGTGTTTGAACTCTCTCTTGCCATCTTTCTCACACTTCTCTCAAATTTTAAGACTCATTTAAAAATGCAAATCGAGGTGAGAAAGTTTTCCCATTTTTCTGTTGCTCTAATTCTCAAATAAGGGTACTGCAATGATAAAAATTCATTGGCAACTTAACGTCTTAGTTTTGTTTGCATAATATACTGATCAGTTAATTCTGTATTTGAGTTCTTCTGTACACGAGATTATATTTTTCAAGAGAAATTGAGTAGAAATGAGTTTGTATGTTTGACATAGTTCTAACGAGTTTCAGATCAAGTCCTTTTCCTCATGTATTTTGCAGGTGTTCTTCAAAGAGATCTTCTTGAATATTTTAGAGACTTCTTCAAGCTCCTTCGAGCACAAATGGATGGTGATTCAAACTTTAACTAGAATTTGTGCAGGTATTTATATTGTTGAGAAAGCAGACACTTCCTCTGGCTGCAGAGGTTTTCCTCTGCAGTAATTTTTTATTTTCTAGAAAAATGCTACATTTGATGTTCAAGTTCTTTGGGGAAAAATGAATTTGATCCCTTAATGCTTGAGTTAAATGTGTGTATTAAAACCCACTGCCTGCTCTGAGTATTTCCTTTTAAAAAAGCTGTTGCACAGAACTCTGATGTTTGTGCTTTCATTTGTTTTCAAGATGCCCAGTGTGTAGTGGATATTTACGTTAACTATGACTGTGATTTAAATGCTGCTAATATATTTGAACGCCTTGTAAATGATTTGTCCAAAATCGCCCAGGGACGAAGTGGTCATGAATTGGGAATGACACTTTTGCAGGTAAGGATAACAGCTTGGAAGCTGAGGTACCATTATGTCTCTAGGTTATTGATACTTCCTGTGGTTTATGTTGTCCATAACTTACTGGTATTACTTATTTTTTATTAGTTAGCTGTATTAGGTAAGTTTTTAAGCGGGATAATGAGGCAGCATGATTAATTTACTTGGTTTTACAGTGTATCTACATTGTGACACTGAACTTGTTCTGTGCTCTTTTGGTCCTCTCTCCCTTGGTAGGCCAACAAATGAGCCATCCTTAATCATGCGTTCCTTTGGCCGAGAATGAAAGTAATATCAAGAGACCTTAGAGGCAGTGTTTGGATGAGCTGTTTTACTGTACAGTTAAAGTAGTGAGACATTTGTCCTTGTGGAGAGCTCTGATGCTATAGAAACTTGCTGAATGTTCATAATCGTTCGTACACTTCAGTTGCATTTAAGAACTGGGGTATATTGCCTTTTGGCTGTACTTATCAGCTGTAAATAGATCCAACGCTTAAAGCAGCTGGAATGTGGCATCAGTCTGGTCCAGTGTAAATGGTCAAGGGACAGAAATGGTATCATCATAGCTGATGAACATGCTAAGATTTCAATGGTGTGATGTAATGCATCCCAAAAATTTGTGGCTACAAGTGTATTGTGTTTTCTTGTTGGATGTTTCTAGGAATTAAGCCTGAGGAAAAAAGGGCTTGAATGTTTGGTTTCTATTTTAAAATGTATGGTAGAATGGAGCAAAGACCTTTATGTGAACCCCAACCATCAGACAAGCTTGGGTAAGATTGTTTTCCTTATAGGGAGACTAATTTGTTAAGTAAGTTTGTTCCTGTGTTTCCTTATGGTTCAGAAGTTATTCACTAGTGTGGATGCCAGGTTTTTACATGACAATTCATTTATGTAAGTATTTTACAAAGGGTTATTTAGTACTGTATACTGAAAGAGCATACTGTTTCAGTAGCTGACCCTCCAAATGTCTGATCTGAATAATCGGGGTCTGTTTTAAAACTTAGCCAGGCCATCACTGACACTGTAAAAGCTGGCTTATGTAGAACATGAATGTGACATATCTTGCAGCTCCTAGATTCAAGTGAAAGATCTTTAGAGATATTGATGGTTTTTTTTGCTTTTGCTGAAATACTTCAGACATATGTCTGTACAGCATATTTGTGTAGTATAGTCTGGCAAAATGTAAACCTGCTAGAATTAGGATTTTGGCTTGTAACTAACTTCTTCTGACTTACTGAATTTTTACCGAACAAGATGACTTCAGTCTCTTCATGTTTATAAATAGGTACATATAAACCATCTGAGCAGGAAATAGCTGAAGGAAAATGTCTTGACAGTGGAGGGAGACGAAGTAGTGTCAGTTCCTTGGACTCCACTGTGTCGTCAGGAGTTGGGAGTGTTGGTACCCAAACTGCTGTCCCAGATGACCCTGAGCAATTTGAAGTCATCAAACAACAAAAGGAAATAATTGAACATGGGATAGAGCTGTAAGTTCAATAATGAAAGAAAAAAAAAACCAACAACTTGCTAGTTAAAAAAAAAAAAGTATAACCATATTGTTTCTTAGTCTTATATAGTGAAAAGTAAAGGGACATGTGACTGTTAGATTTAGTCCTGAGGCTCTTGCTTCTTTTAGAAAGGAGCACTGGGGGGCTACTGTATTTAAAAAGGAATTCAGTGACATCTTGAGTGGAGAGGAGCTTGTTTCATGGTATTCCTTTGTGCTGGTACACCCAGGGGTGCATATACCTAGACTGAAACTGATTTGGGTAGGCAGACACATCGTCTTCCAGCTCTTTAAACCATTTATTGTCTTTATTGAAATAGTTGCAGTGAAATGCTTGTTCAGCAGTAGTTTATTGCTGTTTCATTGATTTGAAGAACTTTCTCTGAAAATACTATGTACAGCAGAATTTTTAATGGGAATTCTCTGATATCCTCAAGTATTTCAAGAGGGAGGTTTTCAGTTATATGCATCACTTCATCCATGTTTTTGTCTGAATAGGTTTAACAAAAAACCAAAGAGAGGAATACAGTATCTACAGGAGCAAGGAATGCTTGGAAGTACAGCAGAGGACATTGCACAATTTCTGCACCAAGAAGAACGTCTCTGTTCTGTAAGACTATGGGCAATATAAGATAATTCATATTGTTTTTAAACGAGTGCTCTTACAGTGTTGCTGTCTGATCCTTTTGTATGCACTCTGAGTTCCTATTTAATTAATAGATAACTAAAAGCATAAGGGTTCTGATGAATATGCTTAATCTCAATGCTGCTTTATATTTAATAAAGTATCCCAGACATTTTAGTAAATTTAAGTAATTTTAGTAGCTGTTTTCAATGAAGTAGTGAGGGGCACAGGGTTTATATATATCTGCATTAATAATATCTTGTCAAGTGAAGGAATTTGTTGGCACATTGTCAATGCATTTTTCACTGCATATGAAATGGGGTGCAAATTAGCTTTCCTTGGATCTGCGTTAATGCAGATTTCACCTTGTGGGGAATGAGGGAAACAAGAATAAGCAGGTTATGTCTGTTTTCTAGTGATGCTGGTTTCCTGCCATCCTTGTAACGGTTGCTCTGCTGACTTAGTGAATCAGATCAGTCTTACAAAATTCAGCTGTGCAACTCTAAGTTTTCTTGCACAGCTGGCAGTTGGATTACAGAGTAATAACCGTCTCTTGTGTTTTTTAGACTCAAGCAGGGGAATTTCTTGGAGAAGGCAGCAAGTTTAACAAGGAGGTGATGTATGCCTACGTGGACCAGCTTGATTTCTGTGGGAAAGACTTTGTCTCTGCCCTACGTATATTTCTGGAAGGCTTCCGGCTGCCTGGTGAAGCCCAGAAGATTGATAGATTAATGGAGAAGTTTGCTGCTAGATATATTGAATGCAACCAACGGTAATTCAAAACCTTGTATTGGATAAGTGCCTGAAAAATGTCTCTTTTGTTCATGGTCCTCAAGAATGAGGTACAACCCGCACTCTAGAGGTTGGGTATTTCCACAAGCGTGTCTGTTTCCTTTCTTGTGAAAATGGAGGCAATTGGTAGAGGAATTAGGTCTCTAATAACGCATTTATTTTTTCTTCTCTTAGGCAAACGCTGTTTGCTAGTGCTGACACTGCCTATGTTTTGGCATACTCCATCATAATGCTGACTACAGATTTACACAGTCCACAGGTGAAAATTAAAAAAGAAAAAAAAAAAAAGGACTTGTAGAAGCTCAGATTTCCACAGAACTTACATTCAATACCTGATTTCCTGATTCTTTTCTACAGGTAAAGAATAAAATGACAAAGGAACAATACATTAAAATGAATCGAGGAATCAATGACAGTAAAGACCTGCCAGTGGAGTATTTGTCCACGATCTATGAAGAAATAGAAGGAAAGAAAATTGCCATGAAGGAAACAAAAGAATATGCAATCACAACCAAGTGTAGTAAACCAAGTAAGAAGGATCTAGAAACTGGAAAGACCACATGTTCTGAACTATTGCATAACTTTCAGGATGGCATAGTGAAGTTCAGGTCGCTTTTGAAAACATCTTTGTGCAATATATAAATTACATTTAGAGTACTAATATAGTAAAATATAGTGTATATAGTATATATAATATATTCAGCTGCAATGAAACTGGCTTACAGGTGTTACTTAATGCAGCTATATCTGTGATGGAAACATGGCTGCGTAAGTGCATCCAGGACCACTGCAGAAAGGCACTAGAAACTAGATTTTTTTTAAAATGAAAGTAGGGGAAATGATAAAAAATAATTGATGTTTGCTGTTATTTTGTTCATTAGCTTCTTTTATATACAAGACGTGTGTTTTTTTTCTTTATCAGTAGCATGTCATAGTTCATAGGTAGTAAGTGTCACTGTCCTTGTGATAATCTTTGAGAAAAGAGATGCTGAAGAGTATGTCATATTCCACAGTTGCTTTTTCTCATTCACAGCAAGCAAAGATTTGTGTGCAGTCTACTGTAGAAACCAGTGTCTCCAGCTGTACTCTCCTCATACACAGTGGTCATTCATTTAATTCTGAATCTTCAGCATAGTGCTTTTTTTTTGATTTTTCTGTGGTATTTGCAAGTTTCCTAGTTCAGAACAGAAACAAAATGATCTTTTATGTTTCTTCATTCTTACACTAAGTTAGTAACTTATTTTTAAATTGGTGAAAGACTTGTTTTGTATGGAGGATGTGAGACTAAAACAGTGAAGTGTTTTCCATCCATTATTATAAGCAGAGTAAATTAATAGACTATGCCTGTCTGACTTGTTCTTGGTATGTAATAAAAGGCAGAATCTAGATATACTGTGTAGAATAAACTCTTAGATTGAGGTGTGGATTTTGGTGCTGGAGTTCCTTGCTTGCAGACTATGAAAGCCTCCCACATTGTAATGGTTCTGAAGATTATATTTAGATTTCATTGTCAATACCTTCATTTAATGTTTGTCAATATGAAGGTACAGATTCTTCTCCTATGTGGAGAAAAACAAACCAACAATGCATCTGTGGTGTTCCCATTAGGTGTAGCTAATGAGAAGCAGCGGAGGCTTTTGTACAACTTGGAGATGGAACAAATGGCTAAAACTGCTAAAGCTCTCATGGAGGCAGTAAGCCATGCAAAGGCTCCTTTTACTAGTGCCACTCATCTGGATCATGTCAGACCCATGTTCAAAGTGAGTGTCTGTGAAATTCTTGTTATATTTTCATTAAGAGTTTCAAGCATGGAAAAAAATGGGGGGAAATGACTGGGCAGCTGGATAATGCAACCGATGGAAATTTTAAAAAAATATATTTAGTCCCTATTGCATAAAGTTTTAGGCTAAAATCTTAATGGATTTGTGAACTTAATTTCTTTCTTTAGCTTGTTTGGACTCCATTGTTGGCAGCTTACAGTGTTGGCTTGCAGAACTGTGATGACACAGAAGTTGCATCCCTTTGTTTGGAAGGCATACGATGTGCAATTCGAATAGCCTGCATCTTTGGAATGCAGGTTTGTGTGAGACTTCTCTCAAGAATTCTGCTTGTCTTTTATTGCTGAGTCCTATTAAGAGCACTAGCTAGTTTGCCTGCTACTCTTCTTGCCCTGGAAAATGCTCTAGTGTAACTGACAATTATGCAGTAAAGTAGCATAGGCATGCTGGCCAAGTAGCCAAGTAGTCTCTAGCTCTTCAGGGACTTTATTGCAATGTCATGTTTCTCTGTCTTGTAGCTTGAACGAGATGCTTACGTACAGGCCCTCGCTCGGTTTTCCTTGTTGACAGCCAGTTCCAGTATCACAGAAATGAAACAGAAGAACATAGATACCATTAAGACACTTATTACAGTCGCTCACACAGATGGCAACTATCTTGGGAACTCTTGGCACGAGGTAACAACTTGAATAGTTTTCATGCAACTGCATTGTTCTTTGAAAATCTGCAGGACTTTGTTCTGGTCTCTGACTATTTCTAGTCTTTAATTAACCACATCTAGCTTCCAGGATGTGTTTCAACTCTCCTTGAAAGATGGATATGAGTGCAAGATTTTGTTACTATTTAAAAAAAAGTCTTTTTTTTTTTTTTTTTTTGGCAGACTCCATAGGCACAGTATGATTAGCATTGTAGTGTTTGTAGTTGCTTTTGATAAGGAATTAAAACTATGCTGAATTTGCATTTCAATGCAATTCATGGAATTCTAAACAGAAACCACTGCTTTCTTGCTCTTGTTATCAAAAATAGTCCAGCTCACAGTTCCAGACTTCTCTGTGTTGTGTTCTGCAACTTTTACACCACAATTGCATGAAGAAGTTGGTCCACAATAATTGAGTTAAGGAAAAGTGAGGATAATGTATGAGAATCATACTTATTTTCCTAAGGCATATTTTTCAAGAACTCTTCAATCACTTCTAAATCAGTGATGCTGCTAAACTGGAATATTCCTTCTGCATTGCATTCTCTGGTGCTAGACTTTGACTGTGTGATAATGTGAACCAAAAGGGACTCTAGCTGATGAGTTTTGTGGACCTGGTTTAAAGAACAACCCCCAAATGCTTGTGCCAACCCAGGGGCTGTTGCAGTGTGAAGGAGTCAGGAAAGGCCTGTACGTGCTTTATAGCATGGCAGCTGTGGCTTTTTTCACTACCTGCACTGTCGTCATTAAATGGCAGCTGCTATAATGCAGTTATGCAATTTGAGTTTTGAAAGCTGATGCTGTGAGACGTAGTAAAAAGGTCACTTCTGGTAGAGATCTAAATTAGATTTCTTGGCACTATATTATTTTTTTTTCCCCTGGAGTGTTGGAATGATTTATGGCAGCTGGTGATCTTGAATGAGTCACTCAACACAGTTTGATTTACAGTTGCTTTAGCAATGTTGTTGCTATCTAAGTTGTTTTAAAGGTTAGATAACCTGGGCAGTACTGGGAATAAATACGCAATGGTATCCAGAAACTGTGTTTTACAATATCTTTGTTTTTAGATCCTGAAATGTATTAGCCAGCTGGAGCTAGCACAACTTATAGGAACTGGAGTAAAAACTCGGTATTTATCTGGTGCTGGGCGTGAAAGGGAAGGAATCATTAAAGGCTATGCATCTGGAGGGGAAGAGTTTATGGGCCTCGGATTAGGTAAGGTTAATAATCTTGAGCTTCACAGAATGCGTATTTAATTGAAGTGTGATGGCTAAGAGTTCAGTTATAAGATAGCAAAATACATCTGTTCATTTGAGTCTAGTGGATTAATGGAACTTAAAAAATCCATCATAACCTTCCAAGATATTTTAGTAATTACAGAATATGTTCACACTTCAATAATTTAATAGTGCATAAATGTATTTAACAGAATGCCTCCAGATTGATTTGTTGGGATGTGATATTTTCAAAGGTGTTTCACAATCTTCTTACCAGTGTTATCAGTTCTTCCTCTCTACGCTTTGTTTACAACTAAAACACGAACAGTTTCTCTTTATTGTTCCAATGATAAATATTTTTCCAAAGAAATTCCTCATCTCTGCATCTTGGACTTGCTGTTTTGTTTCCTATTGCTCCAGTAGTATGTGAAACAAAAAGCTGTAAATTAGAGGAGAAAGCAGACTGTCTTAATCTTTGGAGAACTGTCTAGGTGACACTTAGATTCCAAAGTACTTGGGAACTCATGCTGTCCATGATGATTGGATGGTGGTGGATGGTTGGGCTAGATGATCTTAGGTTGATCTTTTCCAACCTTAACGATACTATAATTCTGTGATGATGCTGAATATAGCAGAACTGTGCCTAACCTCAGCTGCTTGTATCAGACTGAGTTAATATTTTCTAATGTTTCATCTGTTCCAATCAAATTAACAGTATTACATCTTAAGAAAATTAACATAATTACCAAAATGCTATCCCTCAGTTAAAAGAACACCTCTAGCTGCATGTTTAATTTGTCATAATCTGGCACAGATCACGCAAGGGCACCATCTGCTCCATATACATTACAATTGCTTTTCTTTGTTTACTTGTAAAAGCTCTAAAAACATGATGCTAAACACTGTTTTTATGGTTTTATTGCAGGTAATCTTGTTGGAAGTGGTGCTGATAAGCGGCATATGGCGAGCATTCAAGAGTCAGTGGGAGAGACCAGTTCCCAGAGTGTAGTGGTAGCAGTAGACAGGTACTTAAAATTTGTTCTGTGGAAAATGTGACTTGAAGCTATTGACCTTGCTTTATTTGCAGACTCTGACAGGGATTTCTGTTCTTGAAACCTCTTTCTCTCGAGAGAAAGGCAATGTTTAGATGCTGTCTTTGGAGCCACTAAATATAATGCTTTGGGCAGGCAGTATTCACCAAAAGAAAGGCTGGCATTAAATAACTAATGTAAACTAGTGCAGTGGATTTGGAGAATGGCACTGTGTGTGTGCACGTGTGTTTTTGATGCCTTTCCTTGGAGTAAGCAAGTTATTTAGGTATCTTTGTTTTGTATCGCTCTGTTTCTAATCTGTGTGCATGCAATCTGTGTATGTGGGCCTTTTCCTCAATCCCATTTTGAGTTAGCTTGAGGTGGGCTGGTATCTGAAAAGAAAAAATGCCCATGCTCTATCAAGTCATGCAATTTTATTTGGTCGCGTGAGCTTCAGTATTGCAGCATTTAGTTGCTCTTCTGCAGCTTTTTATTTGTGAGTCACTGTATTGTCCAAATTATCATCTTTTTCATTTGTCTTTTTAAATACTGTATAAGAGAGATGCATGTATTAGAAGTAGTGTTGAAAAGGGCATTTCTTATAATTATTGAAGCTGCTTGATCAGTCAATAGAATCGTATATTCAGGCTTTTAATACTTACTGTAACATAGGTATGCATGTACCATGTCATAAATTCAGGGACAGTTTAAATTTAGCAGTAATCTGTATGCCTCATAATTAGCAATCTGAACTTCTCTCAAGACTCTGAAGAGCGAAGGGGGGGAAAGGACCATGGTGGATCTGTAGTCTTCTTTCTGCTATCTGTACTGATAGCCACAACTTAGAGTATTCACAAATTACAAAAAGCCCAAGCAGGTGGTTAGCATCCAGCAAAATGTGCCGTTGTGAAGTACTTACAGGATGCTGCTGACAATTGCTTACAGCTCTAAGATTTGATTGGTTCTTGGGGATGGGCAGCTAAAACTGCAACATATTTATTTCTTCCCTAGGATATTTACAGGATCAACTAGGCTGGATGGAAATGCAATAGGTATGTATGCTGACCATATGGAGCAATACAGCAATTCTTGCCATGTCACATCCTGAATTTACGGTAGTGTGTTGTCGTGTTCAGTTGACTTCGTCCGATGGCTGTGTGCTGTCTCTATGGATGAGCTGGCTTCCCCTCACCATCCACGCATGTTCAGTCTGCAGAAGATAGTGGAGATATCCTATTACAACATGAATCGCATTAGGCTGCAGTGGTCAAGGATTTGGCAAGTGATTGGAGATCACTTCAACAAGGTATTTTTTAAAACCAGCTTATGTAACGTATGTCAGTGTGGAAGGACTTCTCATCTGCTTTTTCTTTTTGTGCTTCTGAACGGGGTAGGTTTTGACTTCAAAGAAATAAAGTCTGCTAACTTCTCAGCAGTTTATATGTAGTAATTCTGACAACATTTACTTGTACAAATACTTTCTAATGCTAAGTGAAACATCTATTTCAAAATGTAAAGAGTGGAGATAAAAATGGAAATATTTATGGAAAGGATCTTTTTATAACGAAGGATCTCTTCATTATACAACTGTGTATTTATGCTTCTTCCTTTGTGCCATTGTATTATCCTCCTGGTCAAATACCAAATTAGATTTCCTCTACAACATATGCAGATGATCCTGAAACAACAAAGTTTTGTTGGAAGCTTGGACTGCATTCCTTTCTAACCTATGTTTTGTTTTGTTTTTGAGTATCTAGCTGGTTATTCTTCTGCACTTTCTGCATACGAAATCTGTGGGGCTGTTGAGATTTCTCATGACTGAGACAGACAGCCCTCCTGTTTTCTGAATGTCTGGAAGCTACAGCGTGCTTGAGATTTTCAGTGAACTGATATGAAATATATGATGGATATGTTGCTTATATAAGAAATAAGCTGGTAAGTGTTTGAAAATGTGTTTCTTCTAGGTTGGCTGTAACCCTAATGAAGATGTTGCCATCTTTGCAGTAGACTCATTAAGGCAGCTGTCCATGAAGTTTCTTGAGAAGGGAGAGCTGGCCAACTTCCGCTTCCAGAAAGACTTCTTAAGGCCTTTTGAGCATATTATGAAGAAGAACAGGTGTGATGGACTGATGTTAGCTTACTTCAGTCCTTCTTAAAGATGTTTCTTTCTGTGGATTTAATTGTCTTGCATCTGAAAGTGGCTTTTGATGTAGTGTTTTATTTTCTGTTTTATTTTCTAAGATCTCCAACTATTCGGGACATGGTCATACGCTGCATTGCTCAGATGGTGAACTCTCAAGCTGGTAATATTCGCTCAGGCTGGAAAAATATCTTTGCTGTCTTTCACCAAGCAGCATCAGACCATGATGGGAATATTGTGGAGCTGGCCTTTCAGACTACAGCACATATAGTTAGTAAGTAATACTTGACAGATGCAAGTACCAACTTCTAGCTTAGCTTCTGTGACTCTGGTATAGAAGGCCCATCTGCACGTGAGATTTGTATACACAAGTAAATACATGCAAGGTCTTGCAATTAAACCATTTAAGCTCTGCAGCTAAGTCTTAGCTGTTAAGTCTCTGAATTCCTATGAATAGGAAAAAATGCATACAGATCCTCAGCTGCATAACTCTTCAAACTGGGAGTAAATTCAGTATTTCTCTGTTGCCTATTAGTAAATTGATGCAGATTAAGGAAACTGGATTAATAGATTTTGTGAACTCCATGCTGTTTCAGTATCATATGGTATATCATGTTTATGACACTGGTATGTTATTACTTATGAAGTTTAGTTCATATAGACTGTCTACTCTGGAAGTATATTTGAACAATACGCTACGTCTACTTTCACAGGAAGACAACCAACTCATATTTCAGTACTGATGGCAGCTTTAAGTGTCCCGAACCTGCTGTATTCCCATTAAATACTGTGGGGGGAAAGAGTTGTGGATGGTGTTAATAAATGCAAGTAGTAAGGAAACTTTTGCTAATTTGAATTAGAGTAGTTCAGTTGAAAGGTACCTGTGCAGATCAAGTCCAATTTGAATTGTACAGATCTTGAGAGTTGAGGTCTGTGCAAAAGCTTGTATGTACTGGCTTGGGTTTGTGTTTAGTCTGTCCTTTAACCTGAAATCTAACTGCTTTATTCTCTGTTCCTACAGAATCTGAATAATTAAAGGCTTAGTTAAGATGCATCAAGCTTTACTCCTATTATTTTTATAGTGTTGGCATTGGGTGGCATATGCTGTGGAAGGAAAGGGAGCCACAGAAGAAACTATGAAAGAATCCTAGATTATAAATCGGTAGCTAACCAACCTGAGAGCATGGATAGATTCTGATACTGATAGATTTTTAGGAATGGGAGTATAGCACAAGGAAGAATAGAAGGGAAGAAATTGTTTAATCCAGCAAATCTATCTTTCATGTCTGTTGTTTTGGTGCCAATATTACCAGGTCTGACTTCAGTAGACCAATGTCAGTTCATCTATGCATTTGTCTGTCACTAAGTTTTAAGAAATGCTTTTGTTTGTTCTTCACAGCAAATATTTTCCAACAGCACTTTCCTGCAGCAATTGATTCATTCCAAGATGCAGTAAAATGTCTCTCTGAGTTTGCTTGTAATGTTGCATTCCCAGACACCAGCATGGAAGCAATTAGACTTATTCGGTATTGTGCAAAATATGTTTCAGAAAGACCACAGGTATTTTTTATTTTTTTTTAAACATTGTACATTCTTACTATCTTCTTACTATCGTAATTGAGGTTCTTCTTGGAACTAAGAACTTTCAGACTCAAACTTCAGTCTCCCAGCAGCAGGAGTTTGTGTTAAAAGTGTATTCAGAATTAGGAATTGTTTTGGTGTTGTGTAAGTAATGAACTAGGATTAGTTAACATGTTAAAGGTGTCTTTTGGTTTAAAATGGAAGCTATTACCATTGAAATACTTATTTTCTGTATGTATTTTCTAGGTACTTTCACAGATTGATGTGTCTCAGATTTATATTTTACAAGAGTTGATTGTTACAGTAGAAACTAAGCTAATTTTTCTAGTCTGTCTGTGTACCATTAGTGGTATGTAATCTATCTTAAAGACTTCTGAGGATTTTTTTAATCTTTTTTTCCTGCCTGTCTCCAAGGTATTGAGAGAATACACGAGTGATGACATGAATGTTGCTCCTGGGGACAGAGTATGGGTCAGAGGATGGTTCCCCATTTTATTTGAGCTTTCTTGTATCATAAATCGTTGCAAATTAGATGTTCGAACAAGGTAACAAGACTTTTCTGTTTTTTGTTGGCATTCAGTTGGGGAGAGGATCATGGGTACATGTTTTAACACAGTCTTTGTTTGTTTTAGAGGTTTAACAGTGATGTTTGAAATAATGAAGAGTTATGGCCATACCTTTGAAAAGCATTGGTGGCAAGATCTGTTCAGAATAGTATTTCGGATTTTTGATAATATGAAACTTCCTGAACAACAAACAGAGGTAAAACAGAAAAAACTCAAGCAAACTTTACTCTCCTTTTTTTCCTCAAGAACTTGAACGATCCAGATGGCAGCTTGTGTTATTTACTGTCAGTGTATTCCAGCCCATGCTGTTACAAACTTTGTAGTGATAATTTGTTGTATTATGTTCTGTTGCATGTATGAGATGACCAATGCTTGATAGCTTCCACACAGAAACTTGCCACAATATCCTTTCTGTTCTCCCTAACTGACTATTCTCCCTAACTATTCTCAAGGAAAAGTGTTCTTGCTTTGTAATACCACATACTGTTCAGAACAGCAATCACATGACCAACTAAGTACCTTCTGGTGAGGTATCTTCAGTCGCAGGTATTGGGATTCTTCCAGTTTTATCTGAATTCAATTATTCTCATAGGCCACCTCCTTTTGAATGGCCATTCATGAGCCAAATGCTATCGTGCCAAAGGAACCCACACAGAAATAAATGTTTTTTTTCTCTCGCAGAAATCTGAATGGATGACCACTACGTGCAACCACGCACTTTATGCAATCTGTGATGTATTCACGCAGTTTTATGAAGCTTTGAATGAGATCCTTCTTCCTGACATACTTGCACAGCTACACTGGTGTGTGAAACAAGGTACCTAGTTCACTTGCATCTTTTGGTGAACTGATTTCTAAATAATCTCTTTACTTCAGGGGAAAGCTAGTTGAATTTCTGAAGAGTAATAACTACCATCATCAGAATGTGTGATGTAATAAATGTCTGCAGAATCTTAAGTACTGCAGGGTCTCATTCTGGTTAATCAGTTAGGCAGCTCTTCTGTTAACATGTTTATGGTGCTACTGGGACAGAGCAAAAGCTTTTAATAATGTGCTAATCTTTTGCAGCCTTTCTGTGTGGATTAAATATCTTATATATACATATCTGTAAATGAATGCATTCTGACTTTTGAAATTATTTTTTCCCACCTTCTGTCTCCTGATCACCTGGTGTTTCTAGGTGTGTCTTTCCAAGCGTTTTTTTCATTCAGGCTCAGTCTCTTAAGCCTGAAATTTTCTATATTGCTAGCATGGATTATGGGTGAAGTCTTCAAATTTCAAATTTGTGCTTTCCTTCATTTGTTCCACTGTATGCACTTTTTCTGCTTCCTTCTTCCATTGTCTTCCCCATTTGGATTTCAGGGAAGTGAAATCTCAAAATGTATTTTTAAGCACTGTTTTCTATTCATATGGTCCCCAGCTTGATGTTACTGTAATATAGTTTGTACGTATGCTTTGAGCTGAATTAACACGCCTCTCAAAAAGCATTTAATGGAGCGATAATAGAGAGTGCTTAATGTTTCACTGATATTGTTAAAGCTAATAAATATGAAACATGTCTTCCACAGAAAATGAGCAGTTGGCTCGATCAGGTACCAACTGCCTGGAAAATCTGGTAATACTAAATGGACAGAAATTCAGCCCAGAAGTCTGGGGCCAGACGTGCAATTGTATGCTAGAAATCTTCAAAACTACCATTCCTCATGTGTAAGTTCATAAGGTATACTTGTCACACAAATGTTCTGTTTCAGAGCAACAATATTTACTGTTTTTTGTTGTTTTTATTTTGATGTGAAGCTTGCTTACATGGAGGCCAGCGGGAATGGAGGAAGATTCAGCTGAAAAGCACTTGGTAAGAGTTAATTCAGTGCAAAAGACTACGCTGAAGAGGCTGTGTTGGATTAGCTTCTGAAATATTTTATAGTAGTAGAGGTGCTTGACAACAAGTTCTGGAATTGACACTAGCTTGTACTCGGTGTAGCTATCAAGTAACTGAAAAGGAATGAGTGCAGGCATTCTTTGAGGCCAAAATTCTGATGGCTGGTTGGTAAGTAGCACTTTGGATTGTAAGGGTGGTTCTAAATTCTATTCTAGGATTTGGACCTAGATCGTCAGTCATTAAGCAGCGTGGATAAAAACGCTTCAGAAAGAGGACAAAGTCAACTTTCAAATCCAACAGATGAAAGCTGGAAAGGGGGTCCTTATACAAGTAAGGAAAACATCCAAGTTTATTAAATGAACTTTTACAGTCACTTTGCTTCTGTAGTCATTTAAAGGCAGTTTTATGGCACTTGATAATTAATTTGAAAAACTTAGCTTGTCTTTCCAACTTGCATTTATTCCTTCTAGATTTTCTTTTTATAAGATAATTCACAGCAATACCAAAAATGAAAATGGTAATGTAGTACTTTGTTAATCTGTTGTACGTTAATTGTTACAAGTTGCTTCTGAAACTTCTGTTTTTCTGTTTCATTAGACCAGAAACTGTTTGCTGGCCTCCTTATAAAGTGTGTGGTACAGTTGGAATTGATACAGACCATTGATAACATAGTATTCTATCCAGCGACAAGCAAGAAAGAAGATGCTGAGCACATGGCTGCAGCTCAGGTACCAGCAGAATTAGAAATAACTTTGTTAAGCAGTAAAGTACAGAATGTTTCAAAGTGTTTAAAAAACGCTGTGGTACTGTATGGAGCTCCTCCTTTTTCTAGCTCTCCATGCTATCCTGAATGTGTGTCCTTACACTTAATTTTTTATATATATATATATATATATATATATATATATATATATATATATATATATTTTTTTTTTTTAACTATCTCCAGTATTTCTTGGTAGTCTACCCTTCAGATTATTATGGTAATGTGGAAGTTGAAATTTAATAATGTCAACTGTCAAGACATAAATAACCACCTCCCTTGGAGAGGAGGTCCTTGCCCCTGAAAATAACCATTCTAGGCAACAATGTAAGGTGGGCTCTTACTTGTCTGTGTTAATGAAGCCCTAGGCCAGAAAGTTTGGAGCCAGTGCATTCAGCTAGTGTCTTGGGGATGGTGTAGTTAAATTCATAGCAGAAATAGCCTACAAAAAAAAAAGTCATTTTATTGTTCTTAGTGTTTTTTCCAACCGGGATTTACCGTAACTTCTCTTGAAAATGATTTAGTGAGAGGAATACAGCTTTAGCATTTGACAGGGCAGTTCTGCTGTGGTGTGTTGTTCTGATATTTCACTTGTACCTCATGCTGGAGTCTAGAGTTAATAGTATGTGATATGTGAAGTATCAGAGTCCCTCTTATGAGAAGAATATATTACTGATACTGTTCTCTGCCTTGATCTCTTTTATTTAGCGAGATGCACTGGATGCAGATATCCACATTGACACAGAGGACCAAGGAATGTATAAACACATGTCTTCACATCACCTCTTCAAGTTACTAGATTGTTTGCAGGAGTCCCATTCTTTTTCAAAAGCCTTTAATTCAAATTATGAACAAAGAACTGTGTTGTGGAGAGCAGGTGAGGCTTTTGTGTAGTTTGGCTTTAGAAAAAAGGCACTGCGGTCTGTTTAGGACCTCAACCATTGAACTGCAAAAGTATACGATTGTAACAATTTCTGTAGTTCATCTGGCACTGTATACTTTTTCTACTTTTCTCCTTCCAACGAGTTGAGATATTTCTATTTCCTGTACGTATTTTTCATTGAAGTGGAGCAGCATACTTAGTACTGCTGCACTCAAATGCATTTATAAAAATAAGTTAGATGTCAGTCACAGTCGAGGAGAAGGAAATGCTGTCTGTGAAAGAAATCAGATACCTACTGTTGTTCATTAATGGAGAGGTACTTGGCTGGTTCTTGGCTGGTATCTAAAACTGAATATTTCCTCTGATTTCCAGGGTTCAAGGGTAAATCAAAACCTAATCTCTTAAAACAAGAGACCAGCAGCCTGGCTTGTTGCTTGAGAATACTTTTTCGAATGTATGTGGATGAAAACCGGCGAGACGCCTGGGATGCCATACAACAGCGTCTGCTCAGGTAAGAGGATGAAGTTGGTTCAGGTGTGTTCTGTGTGCACAAACATATGGACGACACATCTTTGGAGAGAATGTTCCATTTGTAAGTTGCTGAGCAAAACATGCAGAGCATACCAAGACATAATAGTCTGCTCTTTACTAAAAGCAAATTTAGCAATAAGCAAGCAATCCATTTGAAATAAATGAAACGCTTTCTTGCTTGACCCACTTTTCTTTGCAAAAGTGGTGGTACAGAATACAAAGATACAATGTGATAAGAAATTTATACAGTGCAAGCTACTGCATAGCTGGAACTTAAAGCATTAAAAAAATAAAATTGTAAGTAAATCAAAAAGGTACTTAGCCCCTTTATCTGAGGAGTGAATTGGTACAGAAAAGTGCTAGGTACTGATCTCTGTCAAACGTGAAGAAATCTCAAACTCACTATTAGTACTAATTCAGTGCATTTCAGTGGTGTTCCAATTTTTCAGTGTCTGTGGACATGCTCATCTTTTCAGTGCATGAAAGGGGAGGTCCCATTCCCTCTTCAGAAAGTACTAAGAAAACCTGTTGTAATTTGTACAGATTGTCTACAAAATTCAGTTTACAGCAAGGACCAAAAATGTATGTACATGAGTCCTCCTTTGATCTAAGTGCTACAGATCTTTAATATAGCAGTGTAGATTTGAGGAAAGAGAGGAGAATTTTTTTTCATGGTACCATTGCCTAAATTGTCCCCATGTAAGGATCAGGAAGTAATGTTTGCAGGTTGAAGGCGAAGACACTTCAATTACAGAAAATGCTTTACTTAGAATGCTCACAAGGAAAATAGTTGTTCTCTACTTTTCACTCCATAGTTGTTTATTAACAGCATAAAAACTATTTCAGTTCAATTATCTGTAACAACTGTAACAAAATATAGACAAATGTGTGTACTATAAAATTATTGCATATGATTGAAAACTTTCCCGTGGAAATGCATCTTGTGTAACCAGGATACACTGTGAGAGGACTAATAGGGCATGTAACAAAAACTTATTGTGGTTTCCTTGTGGTTTGTTTGAACTTGGCATCTTTTCAGTGTATGCAGTGAAGCCCTGGCGTATTTTATTACTGTGAACTCAGAAAGCCACAGAGAAGCTTGGACCAACCTCCTGTTGCTGCTTTTAACAAAAACACTGAAAATCAGTGATGAAAAGGTAAGAGCAGGCTAGAAGCCATGTCTGTTTGCATTCAGGTGTTTTCATCTCTGCTTTCATTGAATTCATTCTTTGTCATACATACTGCAAGATGGCTCATTTGCTTACTCATATAATGTGTGATCTCCTTGGAGTGTTGGAATTGTTATTCTTCCTTTCTTTTGGCAAGCACTTCACATTGTAAAAATGGGACTACATCCATGAAATCCAGTTTGTGGAAATATTACTGCAGATCTTTGATATAAAGCACTGTGAATGTGCAGTAAAGGATGTGCTTTATAGCAGCACAGAATGGTAGAGGTAAATTTCATCATTCTAGAACTGTAATTTTAGTTCCTCAACAGTGATGGCAAAAAAATAACCTTTGGAATCTTAGCTTTTCTGAGGAAAATGTGAGTGTATATATTCCCTAGAATATCTCACACAGAGAAACTTCTAGAGGTTGCTTAGGTTTGTGGGCATTACTTTGTTGTTCATTAATTGTAAAAAGGATGAATATAGTTTAAAAGTGTGGGGTTTTGTGTTGGTGTTTTTTCTATGTTTCTTGTATTGCAAAATATGTAATTCCACATTGTCTTTTACATTTTATTGCAACTCATCAATGTTTGAAGAAGAGAGTGTTAGCAGTGATTTTGTTTCTCCACACAGCAGCAATTCAGAGATGTCCATGTGGTTGTGGTGTGTTAGGAAAATAGTTTTAACTATGTAGATAAAATGGTAAGCCTGCGATTCCTTGGTATCCAAGCTGGATGTGGCTCTGGGCAGCCTGGTCTGATGGTTGGTGATCCTGCACATAGCACATAACTAGATAATCAGTGTAGTCCTTTTCAACCCAGGCCATTCTATGATTCAGTACTGCAAGATTTTGCAGTAAAAGTGTCCCCTCAGTTTTCTCTGCAGAATCATAGTACGCCTTGGGTGGGAACGGACCATAAGGATCATCTGACATGGACTGGTTGCCACCAACAGCTCAGGCTGCCCAGGGCTTCATCCACTCTAGTCCTGATCAGCTCCAGTGATGGGGCAGCCATGGCTTTCTTGCAGCAGTGCCAGGGCCTCGCTACCATCTCAGTAAAAGAACTCCTTCCTAATATCTAATCTATATCTCCCCTCTCTCAGTTTAAAACAATTTTGCCTTGTCCTACTGTGTGCCAAATAGAAACTCAAAAACTAACACTCAGCATTATTAGGAAAGGAAAGGAAGATAAAACAAGCTTTGATTTGTTTGATTTGTTAAGACCTTGCATTCTAACATTTGGTGTAGCCATGTATGTGAAAAAACTCAGCACTTTCCTGTAGGAATAGAGAATAATTTTCTTTTTTCATATCTTTCCTGATAGTTTAAGGCACATGCTTCAACATATTATCCATACTTGTGTGAAATCATGCAATTTGACCTGATTCCTGAGCTTCGAGCTGTGCTACGGAAGTTCTTCCTGCGTATAGGTGTTGTGTTCAAAATCTGCATAACAGAGGAGCAAATACGGACAACTGGGACAAATTTACCCTCATGGTAGCCCTAAGTAGAATTGGTTACTTCTGCTTCTTCATAAAGCTGCTCCAGAGATGGACTGAAGTGGATAGGGGAAGAAATGGGACCCTGGTATAGCAAAAGAACAGCAAGTTACTCTTAACACAATGGCATTTGAGGAGGAATGGGGAGGGAAGGAAAGGGGGGGGAAGGGGAATTCCTGACCATCCTGTGAGAGTATCACCAATTTTTATTTAAATTATTGCTAACAGAATTAGTGCTGTAGATATAAAGTCTATTTGTTTCCATGCTCATTATCCTTATGATCAAGTTTCTTTCTTCTAGTCTTCTATCAGTTGTTCAGTTTTGCAGCCCAACCAAATCTTATAAATAACTGGATTCCTCAGTGGAAGTTATTCCCCATGGAAGTAATAAATATAGTTGTATAGCCTTGTGATGTCAGCATGTGCTCATAATAAGCTATATTGCAGTGGCTGATGACCACCTCAGATCATTCTGGGTTTTTCTTTGTGTGCACATGGCTAGACCAGGCAGTGCATTATAGGTTTTCATGTAGACAGCCTGTAGGATATTTGGGGAAGGGTTTTTCCTCTTGTTCATAGGTGATTTTAGAAGAATTTTTTTAATATCAGTGCTTCATCCTCCAAGATCCCTCGTTTTTACAGAAGAAGTACATAGTAGTGTCAACTCCATTGAGCTCCTTAGTCTTGAGTTCAAAACATTAAAAAAGAAAAAGGTAATTTTTAAACTTCCCATTGACTTTGATATATGTCCAAATCATGGACGCAGCATCTACATTAATATTAGAAACAGGGTTCAAAGAAAAAAAAAACAAAACACCCTCTTTATCCTTGAAAACAGTGTATTTAGTGTATTTAGTGGTAGTGATCTGTTTAGGAAGTCTTATTCTTAATAACTCTGAAATTCTCTTTTTTTCTTTTACTGCATACTTTCAACTTCATTTTTTTTTCATGCAAATAACTAATAGTTGAGAATAAATGTCACTACTGTGAAATCTGAATTCCTTGACTGCTTTAGCAAAATTAAACTTAAGATCAGTCGTGCACTATAACAATTACCAGGACATTTATGTGATTTAAAAAACATGTGAAGCAAGCATGATTTAATACAATCTTTGTTTGCTTACCCTGGAGATTTTCCTTTCTTCAGCATGCCTAAGTTTTTTCTGACTCTGTTTCCATCACATAATACCAGTTTGTAACAGAAGTCCAGCACAGTGGAGTTATGTCCTTCGAACTAACCTTAATTTAATTTCAAGACTTTTTTTCAAAAATGGAAAAGCCTGGCAGGATGGGAGAAATTCCACTTCCTGAAACGTGTAAACAAAAGTGTTACCCACTGTGCTATCTGTATCAGCAAACCTCAGAAACAACAGTATTCAACAACAGCGACAATAGAACGGTACTGTGCTCAACTTGTTTTGCTTTTGAGTTTCCTAATAAGGCAGTCAGTTGATGTAGTGTTGAGATATTCTACTCTCAGAGTTATTGGTGTGTGTATATATACTTTTTTTTTCTTGTGAGCTATTTCCAAAGGGCTCATGGGCATTCTTCAGTAAATCAGCTTGTTCTATGTAAGCATCGTTTGGCAATTGTTTGGCAGTCAGTAGTATTGGTAAGGCTTCCAAGTTTTTATTTGTAACCAAAGAAAAGCCACAGCCAGGCTAGGTTTTAAACACCCTATAGATTAAGTCTGTATGCTGATATTTAATATGAGGAAATATATGGCTATATTTTAGCATAAGAAAAAGACTGAAAAATAAGCGTTGCCAATATTGAACTTGCTGCATTTGAAATGTCACTTTATGTTGCATTTAGTATATTTGCTTGTTCCCTGGTAATGTCACTTAATTACAATAAAATGAAGTATTTATTTTAATTCTATTTAAATTTTTAATAAATTTGAAAGAATAAGCCATTATTTTTCCTTCCTGTCCTAGATAGTTCTTAAGCATATGTATATTATTTTCAGGTTTTGAATGTGACACTGCCTCATTGAATGTATACCTGTATCTCCTTTCAAAACACAAACTTTAGAAGAAGCATGCAACTTCACAGTTTTGAAAGCCTTACATCTCAAGTCTTGGAAGAGGTCTCCTAATGTTCAGATCTCAAATTTGGAGTTGCATCGTGGGCTTTCTTTACTGTAATGTGCAACGTACTATCTCTGCACATTAATTAATCAGTCCCTTCTTTCAGCCTTAGTTCTGGGAGATTCTTCTTTTACTCAAGCTTTTATTGTATTTGTACCATTCGTAAACTGCTGAAATTAGGCATGTGACATTAGAAACATTCTAGACTTACTGTAGTGCATGGAGGAGAAGGGGACTGGAATGCAGTGGGATTGTAACAGCCTTAATCCTGTCATGATTTTCTGGAATTGATTGTACATCCTAAAGCAATAAGAGTAGTATGCAGAGCGTATACCGGAATACCTGAAACAGCTGTGTATTCACATCAGCTTTTTGTTCTCCTTCATGCAATCAGAAAGATCCTAACCCACAGGCATCTTAATGGAGCATAAAATGCTGGGCCAAAATGCCTGCAGGCACTGCTGGTTCTGGCTCTGCTGCTGTGGGATCTGACCTGCCTGGGTAGTTCTTTAGTGGAAGGATGAATGAAACAGGGTTCTGTGTCAGCATATCCCAGTAGAGATCTCTGCGATACACAGAGTAATAACAAAAAACCAACACGGTTCTTGGACTGCTGAAGTACCGTTGCAACAGACGACAGACAGATTTTTACCTATAAGGGTACAAATAAGGAGACTGCATGGTATTTACTGCTACTTATTGTAGACCCTTCTAGGCAGCAGGCTGGGGATGCTGTGAGGAGAGCGCTGTGCCCTGCCTGCCATCTCACTCCGGGGCTCCTTCCCCTTTCCTGCCCCGCTCCCCGAGCTGCCAGCAGAGCCGTGCAGAGCAGCTCTGCCTGAGAGGAGCCAACAGCCCCGACTTCAGCTATTGGCAATTAAGTGTAGTATCTTTTAGCCTGAAGTAAAATTATGCTTCTCCTGTCCAAAGTGCGGCTCTCTTTAATCTGTAAATTGTTTGTTCAGCACCTTTAATGTTGTTTGTGGAAAATGTATGTTTTCACGTATTTAAGATGCCTATGTTTCTGAGGACTGCCATATGAAGTGCATTTAATACCGATAAAGAGCAGTCCTTGTCCTCTGGTTGTACACATTTTTGAGAGAATAGCAGAATTATAAAATATGAAAACCTATGTAAAGTTTTCTACATGAAAATAATATGTATAATACTGTTATAATACTCCATGCTTTAATGAAGTGGTAAATCAATAAAGTTTTAAGAAGTGGAGCTTGGCTTTAGCAGTGCTTATTGGAATGTGGGAGGGAGCAGAGAAACCCTCCTTCCCCCCTTCGTTTCCTCAGGGACGATTACGGATGCTAACGAGGAGCCGCCCTGCTGGCCTCGCTCCCGCGCAACGCCGCGGGCGCCGCCTGACGGGCACTGCGGCGCGCGGCGCGCAGCGGGGCCTTATGGGAAGAGCTCGGTCATTGGCTGCCGTCTCCACGTGAGACGGAAGGCACGGATTGGCTCGACGCGCGGCGCGTCGAGGCAGAGGGGCCCGCTGATTGGCTCGGCGGCCTGACGGTGTCGCCGCCCTGCGTGATGCGGTCACCGTGCCGCCGCCGCGCCCTCTCACCACAGTTTGAATGTGAAGCGCAGCCGGAGCTCTCTGAGCCGCCGCCGCCGCTTGGAGGAGGCCGACAGGTGACGTTGAGCAGCGCCGGCCAGCGATGCCGAGGGTGGGGCAGCCCCGCAGTCCGGCCTCCCGCACGGCCCGCGGCCGCCGCCGCACCGTTCCGCTGCGGGCTCGGGCGCTTGGGCCCGCGGCGCAGCGAGAGGCGCAGCACACCGTGATGGAGCGCCTCGACCCGCCTCCCACGGGTCCGGATTGGCCGGCAGCCTTTCGGGGGCTCTTCTCATTGGCTCCCGCGGCTGCCAGTCGGGAGGCGGCGGGGGGGGGAGGGCGGCAAGTTAGGCTGCGGCCGGCCGTTGCTGCGCGGGGTTTTCGGGCAGCTCCGAGCCGTCTCCCGCAGCGCGGGCGGCCCCCAGCCTGAGGTGAAGCGCTGGGATGGCGCCGCCGGGAACAGCAGGGCCGCGCAGGGCAGGCCCTACCCGAGGGGCTTTCCCGGAAGGCCCCTGAGCCGAGCGGCCGCCTCCTCGGGACAGCCGCGTGTCTCGGGCGGGCCGTGGGGTGGGCAGCCTGCAGTGACGGGCTGTGGCGCGGCGGGACGAGGAGCCGCCTGCACACCGGCGCCATCAGTAGGTGCTGTACGAGCAGCTGCCGCGGGTTGTGGTGGTAGGAAATAGGAAAAAAGGGGAGGGGGGAGCGGGAGGGAGGCGGTGCGTTGGAGTGGCTCGTGCTGAGCCGGGCGCTGCGGTGCTGTTTCTTTATGCTGCCCTCCGTAAAGGTGCTGCTGGCTGGGGACGGCTGGCAGGAACTCCTAGAAGGGAGGCGGGCGGGGCAGGGGAGGCACAGTGTTTCAGGTGAACTTTTTTGGATTTTTTGCACTGTGTCTTGGGATTTCAGTTGTTCGTCAACATTGATTTAAACCAAGGGGGTATTGTTGCTGATATAGAAGAAAAACTCACTTGTTAAAACTCACAGCTTTTGCAAAGTGCTTAAATAGGAACCATACTTACTGCTCTGGTGGTCAACAAAGAATAAATCTAAAGTGGAGTGGGAAAATTCCAGCCTTTCTTAATAAGGAGAAACTCCAGGGGATAAAAGAGCATTTGGCTTCTCATTATTTCTGTAGTAAAGGTGTTACGGTACTGTTGGGAGAACGATGGGCAGCATGCAGTGCTTTGGCTGTCAGGTGATGGTTGGACTTTGAGGCCTTATGGGTCCTTTCCAACCCAAATAATCCCATGGTTCTGGTGATACCCTAAGCCATGTGCCTGCTGAAGCGTGTCTTAATGCTGTTCTGGTGTTACTGTAATTTTAATTATTCCAATTAAAGCTGTGAAGTTAATGAACCACTGTGGTAAGTATGAGAGTACGTGTGGGAAATCTGACTTATTTGCACAGTTATTCTGTAATAAGTACTGCAGGTGAAATGATTGCCTGCCCTGATCTGGGTTCGTTTTGCAGGGTGGACAAACTCTTTGGCTTTCTGCAGTCTTTCATCACTTCATTAAAAATTATTTTCAGTTTTTTCTAGAGATAGCATTTATGTGTAAATGGGCCTTGGCTCTTCAGTGCACCTCATGTCATTCTTTTGTCCATCATTTGGATCAAATATTCCATTTTTTCAACGAGGAATAGATTTCTGTGGCTGGCAGTAGTTTTAAAAGGAAGCTCATCCTCTCATGGAAGGGTGAGAGATCGCCTTTTGGCTTTACTTGAGTAGTGGTTCATTGGATGTACGATCTAGTTTTAGGGGTTTGCTTTCAGGAACCTGGACAACAACAGTTACATGAGGCATGTGTTACAGTTTGTATTTAGCTACCTGTTTTATTGCATAGATGTATGAGTCCCTGCTTTAAGAAGTGTAGTCTAAAAAAAGCGGATGTGTGTCTTCTGTGGAATCACGTTTTGTGTATGTGGAGCTTATAGGGTGGATTTTCTGATCTGCATTAACAAAACTGCTTCTGTGTCGTAGTTTCTGCCAAAATGGAGCTGAGCGATGCCAATTTACAGACCTTAACTGAGTATCTAAAGAAAACACTGGATCCAGATCCTGCAATAAGGCGTCCTGGTAAGTGATTGTCAGGGATTCCTCTCAGCTCTGTGGTCTGTGTGTAACCTCCTTCTAAAAAAAAAAAAAAAAAAAAAAAAAAAAAAAAAAAAAAACCAACAAAAAATCCCAAAACTTAATGAAGAACACACTTACATATCAATTCATTTTCTATTTGCTTTACATAATTTTCTTCTTGAAGCTTGTACTGTGTTTTTTTTAAAACAGGGATGTTGTTTACACCAAAGCTGGACTGGCTTCTCTTAGGTCATGGCTTTTAAAAGTGTCAAGGAGGCAATATTTCCACAGCCTGCTTTGAATTGAGAGCTTTTGTTAACAGCAGAAGCATTAAAGAGCTTATAGTAGTAAAGAAGTTACAGTACAGTTTGCTACTTGTCCAGTGCTTCTGTTCCTGTGAAACTCTGCAGAGGTGTTTGTGTTATTTTAAATGGACGTTTGAGGAATCGTAGATCTCTGGTTAGGAAAATCAGCTCCGCTTCCTGTTAACCTTACTGCATTCTCTTGCAGCGGAGAAGTTTCTTGAGACAGTTGAAGGAAGCCAGAATTATCCATTGCTGCTCTTAACGTTGCTGGAGAAATCGCAGGAAAATGTCATCAAAGTCTGCGCGTCGGTAACTTTCAAGAATTACATCAAAAGGAACTGGAGAATTGTAGGTATTCCAGGCAGTATTTCTGCTAAGATTTAATCATCCTTTTAAGGTCCAATAATGTTTAATAACCTTGCAGAATATGTATGTGTCTGTACTTCGGAAGAGAAGATAGATGATACAGAGAATGAACACAATTTACTGATAAGGGACTAAAGCCTCCACTCTTGTTATCCATTCTGTTGGAAAGAAATAAATCTGGGTGATAAAATGGAGAGGAAGAATTCTTCCTAATGTTGTGTGTATCTTTCTGAAGAAGTACAGTATTCACTGCCCATTTAACTGAGTGTAATATTATTCATGTTAAAATGATGGGAGAACGTCCATATGTGTGAGCTGACCTACTTGGCTGCTCTCAGTTGACATAGTACTGCAACCATTTCTAGCCAGCTCTGCAGCTGGAGGTGAAGGTATTGATTTATTTTTCACATAGGTGCCTCTTAGACGTAGAACCTTTGTAAGTTCAACACATGGAAGTATCTGTAGGCATAAGATAGAAATATTGTCATTTAATCTCATTTTATCCTTTGTTTTGAAAGTATCAGAGGCATTTTTTATTCAGAGCTTTCAGTATGCATGAAATGTAACTCATGGTGTCAAGTATTACATGTAAGAGCTCAGCTCCTTTGTGATGAGAGGTTTCAACTGATCTTGTTTATGCTTTGTCTCCTTGAAAGCACAGTTTGTGTATCTGAAAGTCTCAAATGTATGATCTTGTTATATATCTCAGCTTGTGACTATTCAAGAGTTTGCATGTGATTCCCGCTGTACAAATATTGAAAACCTACAGCAGTCCTTGCTGGTTATGTTTGGTAAAACCAGCACATTCACACTGGTGTGAAATTTCTAGGCCTTGGTGTTGCTAATACTGCCTTTTCAGTCATTTCTTAAAAATTGCATCTCTGTATGTTGTGTGTTTTAAGCAGAAACACCACTCACAGAGAAGTGTGTGTCTTCCTTGATATAGGTGACTGAAGTGATTCAGGATGTGACATGTTGGAGTAGGTGAAGATGCTACGCAGTGAGTGCATCCAGAGGACAGTTAGCATTGCCCCAAGTTTGCTTGAAGCCACACGCACTATTTTATCCAAGATTGAAGCTTTTAGAAGCAGTTTTATGAATATAACCTTAAGGCTAGCTTACGTAGATCACATAGTATAATTTAGCAGTGTTGGATTAGGACTGATACAAAGCACAGAGGAAGGAAAATGGTTTTGCCTACTCAGGCAGTTTGATTCTTTGTAAGTTTGTGGAAAGATGATCAAAAAGAACGTGAGGTGGAGGAGGGCAATGCTGTCTGGCTCCAGGCATGTTGAGATCATCAGATTACTTTCTGAATTGCTGGGTAACTTCTATGTTTCTAAACATTGCTACTGTCATCACTGCAAATGTGACTATCCCTGCTGCCGGTGGTTGCTGACAAGCGTTGGTATTTTGCTTCTTTGATACAGATACCATAATTTACTACCTACCACTCAGCACTGTTCACTTGGCAGGATGATTGGCTGACTCTGAAAGGCAGCGTGAGGTTTGTGTGCATCACCTGCGCTCACCTTCCTGTCCAGTTGCACAAAATAAATCTTTGAAGTTGGCAGAAACGAGGACAGACGTGGTTTGGAGCATTGAAATAGAGGACTGGTGGTTAAACTTGTGTTTGTAACTGGCGTATGTGCCCACCCTTACTGTCCTGAATTGCTGTTTGAAAAGATCACTGTTAGAGGAGAATATTAGTTAGAAAATTAGCAGAAAGGTGTCATTTCTTTCCGCTTTAATCAGTTACTGCTGTGAAAGAGTCATTGTAGGCGTTAACAGATCTTTTAATTTCGTCATTGATGCAGTGGTTTCAGACATTTGTACGTTTGACTTCTGAAACACTGGGATTTGCTCAGTGCCCAGTGTACTAATGTGCCAGTGACTGAATTGTTGGTTTTGTTGTAGGTGG